AACAAATTCTCTATATAAAGAAAAGGAGTGACTGAAACTTGTTTGAGAAATTAAAAAGAAAACTTATATTAAAATTTCAAAAAATGAAAAAAGAGGAACAAAATGGATGAACTGAAAATTAAAAAAAAAAGAAAAATATTTTTTACAAAGTGAGAAGTGAAAATAAGAAAACATCCAACGCATGTAAATAACAGAGTGAGAAAGAAAATTTTTTTGTATTGATTTATCGTTGCAAGGGAGCGACACATTATGCTTCTTGTATATCCGGTAGTGACTGAGGGAATGGCTGTTGAGGCAGTGGTTTAAGCTGCGACTGTTGCGGTGGTGGTTGCGGTTTCAGCTGTCGTGGTGAATATTGGTTGTATGATCCATGTGATTGATATGTAGGCGGCATAAAAATTGGTACTAGACCGTCGTTTGACCCAGCATTTGCACCCGGTTGAACAGTCACGTAACCCGTGCTTACCTGAATCGGATTCGATGACGGGTATGGCCGAGGCGAGACGGGTAGATACATAACATATGGTTGAGGTGTTGTGGATGCTGGTGGTGGAACTGTTACTTGTTCCGTAAGAAACCTATACGTGAAGCTCACGACACCTTTTTTCCCATAAGGACCCGTTAAAGCATGCGTCTCCAACTTCATACCGTTAGCATCACCGTTGGTCAAGGAAGAAGGTGGATTTGAGCTCAATAGTTGTTGAACCGGAAGCCTGACGAATCCAATCTCTTTATCACCAAGAAAAGGCCTATGGCTCATCAATTCCACGAGGAGGATCAAACGTCCATCTTGAGCTAACTTCTCATCGAGAGAACACTTAATCTTGTGGTTCCATTTCGGGTTTGTGTACGCCGAGAAAGCGATAGGTGTATTGATCCTATCCTTAACTTTCCTGTCTTTAAGGATCGCAACGGAAGCGTAAACGTCCATTGCCGAGAAGGCGTTGACATCTTCTATGTCCTTTGCGTATTTGATCACGACCTCTAGGATCAGTTTCGTTGTGCCGGTTTGAAACCGAGGCGAAAATACGACAGGCTGACCTGATGATATTGTTGGATCCGGGTTTGGATAAACCGGTTGACCAATCGATGGCGAATGATCCGGTGGTTGACCAATCGATGTCAAATGATCCGGGGCTGGAGAATGCACATCATCATTCGGTACTGGTTTAAACGGTGCCGGAGAATGCACATCATCAACCCGTACGGGTTTAAACCGGTAGGAAAGGCTCAACGTTGCTTTGGGACTTCCTCCTTCTGTGACTTTAATAGGACAAGTCATAGATTTCATTTTATTGACGTTACCGTTAACATACGGTGGGATCGGATTTGAGGCAAGAAGCTCCTCAACCGGGACATTGACTTCTCCCAAATAAACGTCATTTTCACCTTCGAGCCAATAGCTAAATAACTTGACATTGACGCTCAATATAGCTGCTGCTTCCTCGTTGACGGAGAACTTGACGGTGTGATTCCACGTCGGATTGGAACCACCGTCGTAGTCGATAGGTGTTTTGGCCGCTTGTTTCGGTTGAGTAGTTTCGCCGTTGATTGAAACGATGGCGTATACGTCAATCTTGTCCGTGGCATCGATACGATTGACGTCAGCTGATACGATTTTGAGCTCAAGAGTTGGGTTCTCTATGGCTCTTTGCAACTTTGAGGAAGACATTTTCAGAAAGTCCTGTCTTGTATTATCTTTGCAAATGTGAACCAAGACAAAGATATATACAGAATATTACGTGTGGACTTCTGATGTTACGAAATTATAGATATATAAAATGGATATCATTTCTCGAGTCAACGTTAGTTTAATATACTTGCCCTATCAATGTCACATAAGGATATCAGTAGATCCTATATTGTAGAGTAGATCCTATTATCACGCAGAAATATTCTTATCAAATACTTGCTCATACAGACCATATAGAAAAATTAGAATCTGTTTGGATATAAATAATTACTCCCACTACTTACGAACGGTAAATGAAATAAAATGAAACTATTTTTCTTGCAACAGAGTTCACGCACATTTCTCAAACTTGGTCATATTAAGTACAATAGAAAAAAAAAGAACAAAATTATATGAAAAGATGAATCAAATATGCTTATATATTATTAAAACCAAAAGGGAATATGCGTATATTTAGACTATTATCCCAAAGAAATGTAGTAACATGTCTATGTCGAGTGGTGTCCCATTATTGCAATGCATACATAACATAAGACAATTTACACAACAAAAGCAAATAGTTTATATGATTTCGAACTTGACGGTTTGAATTCTTCTTTATACGTCTTTGCAACTCCGGGGGAGACATTTCCGAAAGAGTAGACATTGTCAAATGTGTAGATCTCTAAATGTTATAACATTATACAAAGTCTCTCCCTTGTATAATATTTCAAAATAATTAAAAATGACGAACCGTGATTGTGACAACCAAAAATAAATAAATTAAACCCCATCGTAATAAATTTTACAAGTCATGGAATCAATGAAAACTAATATGGATATTCCCATTTTCGTCTGGTCTTGATTGGTGGCAGTGATTCGGATGAATAATCTAATTTTGACGGTGGAGGTTAACGGTAAACTCAAATTTAAAGGGCGGTTTGTTAATCCGGTAAGAGAAAATCCATGTGAC